GGGTTTAATTATGATGATATCAGAGTAAGAGATCACGATCACTTAACAGGTGATTTTCGCGGAATAGCTCATAACCATTGTAATTTAAATTATAGATTCAAAAAATTTATTCCTATTATACTACATAATTTTACAGGTTATGACTCCCATCTGATTTTCAAAAATATTCCTCCTAAACTATTTTCGAGAATTCAGATTATCCCAGTTAATTCAGAAAAATTTACTACGTTTACTTTAGATCATTTCAAATTTATAGACAGTTTCCAATTTTTAAATTCTTCGCTAACTACTTTAACAGAAAATTTAAAAAATGCAAATTATAATTTTCCTATTTTTAATCAATTTTTCTATAATAACGAAAATAAAAATTTATTAAAAAGGAAAGGAATTTTCCCATATTCTTATTTTAAAAATGAGGATATTTTATACGAGAAATGTTTACCCCCAAAAAAATATTTTTATAACGAATTATCTGGAGAAAATATTAGCGATGATGATTATGATCATGCAAAATTAGTTTGGAAAAAATTTCGTTGTAAAAATTTTAAAGATTATTTAAATTTACATCAATATGTTAACACTTTATTACTGGCTGATATATTCCAAAATTTTAGAAAATTAAGTTTAAAATATTATAATTTAGATCCAGTATATTTCATAACAGCTGCATACTTAACATGGAATTGTGGATTAAAAATGACAAAAATTCAACTCGAATTATTTAAAGATATTAATATGTATCTTTTCATCGAACGATAACACCGATACAATAGTTTAATGAAGTTAGGGGGAATCAGTTTGACTGAGAAGCGATTTGCCGCTGCCAATAATCCTCTAATTCCAGAAACCTATGATAAAAATAAAAGTCATAACTATATTATTTCGATAGATGCTAATAAAATCTATGGATTTGTGATGAGTTCTTATTTACTTGTAAATCATTTCAGATGGTTATCCGAGGATGAGATAAATGCTTTAGACATTTGTAATATTCCTGATAGGAATAATATAGGCTATATTTTAGAGGTTGATTTAAATTATCCACCAAATGTTCATGACCGCCATAACGACTTCCCATTAGCTCCTAGCCATACGAACATTCCATTTGATTTATTATCAAATTATCAAAAATCAGTATTAACTAAATTAAATTTAAAATATAATAATAATAATAAGAAATTAATCCCAACTTTGTTTGATAAACAAAATTATGTAATTCATTATAGAAATTTAAAATTTTATTTAGAAGAGGGTTTAATATTAACTAAAATTCATCGAGTGCTTGCATTTAATCAAGAACCATGGCTTAGAGATTATGTATTGTTTAATAATAAAAAACGGCAGGAATCAACGAATGATTTCGATAAAAGTTTTTTCAAGTTAATGAA